TGATGCTGGTCTATAAAGCTCTGAATGGTTTAGGACTAAAATACATCAGTGACCTCCTGACCCAGTATGAACCTTCCAGATCCCTCAGGTCATCTGGATCCTGTTTTTTATCAGTTCCCAGTAAGAACCAGACATGGAGAAGCTACATTCAGCTTTTATGCTCCATATATCTGGAACAAACTCCCAGAAAGCCTCAGATCAGCTGAAACACTCAGTTTATTTAAATCCAGGTTGAAGACTCACCTATTCTCAGCTGCATTTGAATAAAGCACCAAATCCGCACTGTTTTACTTTTAAGCTCAAATTTCAAAACTTACATTTTAACTACTGGTTTTATCTACTATTCCTTTCTTTTTTTCTATTTTAAATCATGCTTTTTATTTGTTTTTGTTTTTTAATGTCTCTGTAAAGCACTTTGAATCACCTTGCTGTTGAATTGTGCTATACAAATAAACTTGCCTTGCCTTTTCATGAATTTCCAATGGGAGCTGACCCTGACTATTTCCTGGCATCTGCAGGACTGAGCTCTGACTCGGGTCATGTTGTTTAGTTAGGAGTTTGGAGACAGACAGGTTCTTCACAGCAACATCAGCCAATAGGAAGTACTGAGGCTGCTCAGGAGGAGGTAAGTGATGTAGTGAAGGTTAACTGGAGGTGGAGGGGTGGAGCTCATAAAGATTCTGGTTCTGACGTGTTCGGACCCAAGGCTTCTTCATTTTTTTGCACTTGTTATAAAACCGTTAGCACTGCCACTCAGTTTAAGCTCTGCCCCCTCACCTGCACCATGATAAGCTTCTTCTCTTTGGGTTTATTGTCGGGCCAGTCCTCCCCGAAGCAGAAGTAGATCTCGAAGGGCGGCGGATTCGGGGCTTCGCCTTTCTGGAACAAGATCAGCCCTGTGGACAGAAGCATGTCGGTTAGAACATATCAGGCAGCATGTCAACAATCCCGCACACCAAACTCACCTTGCAGGAAGTCATTGAGGCTGAAGACCTTGATCTTCTTCTCTCTCTCCATGGGGTTGGACGGGCCGTGTTCTGGCATGCCCGGTCCAGACCAGAACACCTTACACTGGCAAAGGCGGACGGCGTAGATGTCCTGCTCACAGATCTCCAGGATCAGGCCGCGGTCCATCACGTCCAGCAAGGCCTCGGTGTAAAATCGCTGTTTCTCGTTCTGCATCTCTGATGTTCCCGGGAACAGCACCTGCTGGAGGTTGACAGGTCCGAACAGGTCCACCTGCTCTGGGGTCGGTTCCAGGTGTCCGTAGTACAGCCGGCAGCCCTGAGGGTTACTGACGGTCAGAGAGCCCATTGTACGGCCCCGGTACTGGAACTTCAGGTCCAGATCTGTTACTATAGCAACACGAGATACAGGACCATTACTGTGCCAGTAGAGGGGGGACCATGAATTAGCAACAGTCACCACAGTAAAGCCACCAAAACAAATCGTTATAGGGACAAGGAATGACATCAGGGTATGAGATTTTGGTCATAAAGCACAGCCCTAATGTTCACCTGTGAATGCGCAGGTGAACCTCATGGGTCTGTGAAGGTAACCCTGAGCTCTGCTTTGTGGTGCTGTATTGTTAAAGTGTGACATCAGAGTTGGTTTGATGGTAAACTGTCTGAGCAGCGCCACGTGTGGTAGCGTTTTAGCCCTGAATCTGTGACAGGAAACTGCATTAGAGGTCAGGACTCACGTGGGACGCTGCTCAGCAGGTCGTACTTGCAGGGCTGGTGGTTCTGAGGCTCTGCCTGGTTCTCGACGCCCACCATGCCGCTGGCCTCCATTAGGTCCGGCTCTGGTTGCGCAGCGGCAGCGTTCAGATCCTGAAGTCCATTATGGAGGAAGTGTGCCTGACCCTGGAGATCAGAGGTCATGGTGATGTCAGGAAGCAGAGGCACTGGGATATGCGGCGGTCCAAATGTCCCGTTAGGGGGTAGGCTGAACTGGTTCATCTCTGAGGGAGCCGGGAAGGAGGCAAAGGGGGCGGAGTCACTCAGCCTGGGGTCTAAGGAGACATGGCATCATCACATTACATCAACAGCCACAGTGTTTCCATGGTGACACTGAGACGAAGGTGTACTTACTGATGGAGAGGTCCATCAGGTTCGGCATCTGAAAGGATCAAAGTGTTTCGGTCAGTCACGTGAGAACATGTCAGACTGTTTACATCATGTGATCATTCTCACCTCCTCGTCATCGTCCTCAGCGCCGTCTGAAACACAAAACGGGGATCATCACTTCCTGTCATCATTGCACATCAGAAGGTTACAGTCGTGCAGGTGAAGCTCACCTGTGCTCCCGGGGTGCTCGCACACTTCGTAGATCTTGAACGGCTGGACCGGCGTCTCTTTGGTGCCATCATACTTCAGCTGAAACTCGCGGCTTTTGTTCAGAGCACAGCGCAGATTTGCCTTCCACTTGGCAGGGTCGGGTTCATCTACTCCCTCCTGGTACTTCCCCGTCTCCAGAGCCCATGCCTAGGACACACAGATCAGGGCATAACTCACATCTGACAGATAGGACTCACCTGTGCTCAAGCTGAGGGATGTTTTGCCGTGCCAGCAGTTTCCCTTTGTTTCCAGTGTTTATCATAGGCAACGCTACTCAAAGTCAATAAACACTCAGACTGACACACAAAAGAGGAAGCAGTCAGCAGAGAAGGAGGAAGTGACATCATCACCTGTGTTCAAACTGAAGTTGTTCAAAAACTGTGAAACGAAACTCCGCTGGAAGGAGGAAGTCAAACGCCTACTTCCTCTTCACATGTGTCACTCAAGAACCCGCTTGTAGTTTTTACTTTGGTTTGTCTGTGTGTGTGTCCGTGTATGTGTGTGTCCTTGTATCTGTTTTTGTGTATGTTTGTGCACATGTGTGCATCTGTCCGTCTGCGTGTGTTTGTATTTGTGTACATGTTTAGACATCTTGTGAGGACAGAAAAAATGGTATGCTACTATACTTGTAGGGACTAACAATTACCTATGAGGACAAAATGTGTCACCATGTGGTATTAGTGACAGGGTTACAATTAGCTTACTTAGGATTAGGCTGTGGGTTAGGATTCAGCATTCATTTTTGATGGTTGGGGTTAGGGAAAGCATTATGAAATGAGACGAGGTCCTCACAAAGATATGAAAACGAGTGTGCGTTACTATTTTCTGTAAAAAAAAGTTTTTTGAAACTTGAAACATGATCACAGCAGATGCTATATCAGAGGTTAGAGGTCAGGTGTGAAGGGTTAACCTGACCTTGAAGATGGTGTTCTCCTCGTCTGACACGGGCGTGTGGCGCGTGGCGTGTTTCCAGGGGATCTGGAAGAGGCGGTGGTCCGCGCTGAGCCACTGCAGACCGGGGTACCTGCCGCTGTTCACCTGCGCCAGCAGCCAGGGCTTCAGGCGGACACGCCGGGGCTGGACGCTCATGCTGGGAGGACTGGGAGCGAGAGAGGATTCGCTCAGACCGCGGAAACGGTCCCTGAGCACGAGCCGCTTCTGACACTTCGGAGCTTTGAATTGATAACTGTAATAAGTGAATAATTGTCGAGGAATTGGTTTTTGATCGAACTGTTTCACTCCGCGCGGGTTCACGAGCACAGATACATGACTGCGTGTGCGCGCTGGGCGGATGGACTCACCTGGCCGGGTCCGGTCCTGGTTCAGAGTCTGCGCGCTGTGTTCCTCCTCTGCGGCGTGACGTCAGCAAACAAACAAAGAAAGGAACAAAAACAAACAAACAGAGGGCGGCGGAGCGCTGAAGGGCCGGAGAAAAGTCCCGAGACAAACTCGTCCTCAGTCCGATCACATGACGTCAAGTTAACTTGAAGGAAAACTGCTTCCGGTGGCAGATCAGCTCTCGACAAAATAAAGCTTCCGCAGAAGTTATTTAAAAAAACAGAAAGAGTCAAACTGATACACAGTTACTTAAATAGCCATCCCCGAGGAACCCTAACCATGCATCTGTTTGAGAGGAACCCGGACAGAACCACACCGCAACAAACAAACATCCTGACAGTTCTAAACGCTGAATCTTTTATTGTGAAGGTGTGTCAGGCGGCCTCCGGCGAGTTACGCCTCTCTTCAGGTAACTTTACGGACTTTGTTTTCTTTGGTAGTCTCCAGGATCCTCCCTTCCTCCTTCCGGAAACTTAAAACAAGCGTTTAGTTTTTGTTGACCTGTTTATCACAAACAATCAATATCCATTCAGAAAGAATTAATCAGAATAAAACAATAAAGAGCACAACAGAAATTTGACAGATACCAATGAAAAATATTAAATAAAATGTGTTTTATTATCAGACATTATCAGTGCAGGTAATCAATACTGATCCGTTTTATAAAATTTTCTTTATGTGTTTAATATGCTTTTTTCTGCAACACGATGATGTCACAAGGACTACCGGTCACGTGATCTCTCACTGGAAACATGATAACTGTTATAGTGTGAAGAAGAGCCAGGGAGAAGTGAGGAAGGTGAAGAGCTTTAGCTTCCACCTCGAGAGCTGCAGTAGGGGATGATGATTTTTTTTTTTACAACCAAAAAAAGAAGAAACTGATCAATAGTCCTGATTGATAAACATGAACACAAGACTGACTCCTCAGGTGACAGGTTAGGGTAAGGTAAAGGATGGATGGACAGACAAATGGATACCTGGATTGATGATGGCTGGATGGACGGACAGATGGCTGGGTTGATTTTACAAATGTGTCTGTAAAATCCTGATTTATTAAAGTCGAGATCTGATTATCAGAACAAAATTAATTAATCTTCTGGAAACAATAAAAAGACTGACATCATTAAAAGTTTGTTTTTATTTTTGAACTTTTTTTCTCCACAAAAACCCCCCAATAAGGCCGCCAGAAGAAAAAAAAGTGAATCACGAGTATGACTAAAGTACAGTTTGGATTCCTGCTCTCTAATTGGCTGAATATGTGACTCGTTTCTTTCTGGTTTCTGATTGGTAGGGTTTGGACACCAGTGGCATCTCCTCTGATCAATCAGTCTTCATGTTTTCGTCTCTCTGAGGCATCCCAGTGTTGACTGCTGGTATGTCTTCACCATGAATACTTGCGGGCTCAACTGGCAACCTCAGATCCTCCCAGGTGTGAGCTCCACCTTCATGTTTCTCTGCAACAGTAAACAGGTGTGATGATGATGATGGAGGAGGAAGAGGGGGTCTGGTCCTGCTCTCTCCAGGCTCGCTGAGCTGTGATGATGATGGAGGAGGAAGCAGAGATGGCCTCCTGGTGTAAACTCCTTGTCTGCCATGAAAACTGCCAGACTGACGAGTAAAAGCTCTGCTGCCGTGTGACGACTCGTCCACGAAGACAGGTGGGCTGCTCACCTGAGAATCACACAGCACAGGTCAGTCTCTCACCTGAGTCAGACTGCGCATAAAGTCCTGCTATAAACAGGACTAAAGAGGAACCAATGTGTTAAATAGTAAAATCATGACATCAATGAAAGCTGTGTTTGAGGACTTCAGGATCTACTGTTCACCACATGACACGAGTACTGAAACCACAGGAAGCGACATCACATTCAGAATAACTCACCATGTGAAACCACAGTAACCTCTGCAGAGAGATGACACACATGACTCAGTTTAATATCTGAGACACAACAGATTTTATCATCTGAACCTGTGAGCGGAACAAACCTCAGAAACAGCAGTCTGAATATGTGATGCTGCAGAAACGCTCTAGACAACAGTTTAACATCTCAGTCTGACTCATAGCTTCATGTTTCAGGCGGTTCAGCAGAATGAACACAGCATTTATTTCCTCATGAAATTTCAAACAAAAGACTATTCAAAGATTTCTAACCTGTGGTTTAATAAAACGGGTCAAAGAGGCAGCTGTCATAGGCTTCAACACCAACTCCATGAAAGGTGGATGGGTGGATGATGAATTACATCACATTAGACCCTCATGCTCTCTGTCCGGCTGGTGTGTGAAATTCAAACACCCCCTCAGGTGTGTTAAAGGTTTTACTTCGTACCACATTGGGATGTTTTCCGAAGGCGATGGCGGGGCGATCCTCAGGGTTCTGCACGCGTCTCCTATGGACGGTCCAAAGTAGCAGAAACAGAATCGCAGAGAGCAGCACGATGAGGATAAGCACAGCGATTCCTCCTGCCAGCGTGCTGTCCACGTCTCCAAACAACTGTTGCTCCTTGAACGCACCACTTGGCACTGAAACACAGAAGTTATTTCAGTAAAAGCATCATGGGAGCTGTGAATGTGTGTGTGTGTTTATCTAATAAAGGAAACAGATCAATGTCCTTCCTACTCATCAAAGAATTAGTGATCAGTTACCTTTGACCGCTTGCATTCAGTCCCCTCTTGTAAGTAAGTAAGTAAAATTTTATTTATATAGCACATTTCTAGATAAAAGATCACAAAGTGCTTCACAAGGTATAAGACAAAAACAGACAAAAGTTAACAAAATGCAATTCTAAAAAGATGTGTTTTTAGTTGTTTTTTAAAAGTGAGTCCGCAGATCTTAAGTTCTGAGGAAGAGAGTTCCACAGTCTGGCGGCCACAGTGGCAAAAGCTCTGTCTCCCTTGGTTTTCAGCCTTGTATGCTGAATAACAAGTAGGCCCTGATCACAAGACCTCAGGGACCTACTAGGGACATAGGGCTGTAAAAGTTCAATGATGTAGGCTGGTGCTTGTCCTTGAAGAGCTTTAAATGTCAGAACCAGTATCTTAAAATGGACTCTGAATTCAACGGGGAGCCAGTGCAGCTGTATAAGCAACGGTGTTACATGAGAGTACTTAGATGTTTTTGTCAGAAGCCTTGCTGCAGCATTTTGGACAATCTGCAGACTGCAGTTTTTGTTTAGACATGTAAACAGTGAATTACAGTAGTTCAATCATGGTGAAATGAATGCATGAATAACAATCTCCAGTTCAGTATGAGATACTAAAGGGCTCAATTTAGAAATGCTTCTTAAATGATAGAAGCAGGACTGAACCAGAGATTTGACGTGAACATCCAGAGTAAGAGCAGAATCAAAGGTTACCCCGAGGTTCCTGATAGACGATTTCACAAATGTTGAAAGAGGACCAAGAGCATTCATTATGTTAGGTACATGTCTGTCTGGAGCACATACAAGGACTTCGGTCTTTTCTTCATTAAGTTGGAGGAAGTTGTCAGCCATCCAACCTTTGATGGATTCTAAGCACACATTTAGAATCTGCAGCTTAGAAACATCTTCTGGTTTAAAAGAAATATATAGCTGGATGTCATCTGCATAGCAGTGGTAGCGAATGTCCTCAGAGGGGCTCAAAATATGCCGGAGAGGAAGTAGATATATTAAAAACAATAAGGGCCCCAGCACAGAACGTTGTGGCACACCATAGGACAGGGACGTGGAAGATGACCTGTACTTAGAGACCGCCACAGAAAAGTATCGTTCATAGAGATACGAGGAGAACTACTCTAAGGCAGACCCAGATACACCAACCCAGTGTTTCAGCCTTTCAAGAAAAATGTAATGGTCAACGGTGTCAAAGGCTGACGTGAGGTCCAACATTAGGAGTACAGAACATTTTTCTGCATCGTTTTGCATCAGAATGTCACTGGAAACTCTAAGAAGGGCTGTCTCAGTAGAATGAGCTCCACGAAAGCCAGACTGAAATTTGTCTAAAACTGCTGTAAGCTGCTTAGCCACAACCTTCTCTAATATCTGAGCAATTAACAGTATTTTTGAGATTGGTCTGTAATTGCTAGTGAGAGATGGGTCCAGCTTGGGGTTTTTTAACAGGGGGTGTATAGCAGCAGTTTTAAAATAAGCATGGACTTTACCAGACCCCAGTGAGGTGTTAACTATGGTGAGCACACAGGGACCAATAGAGTGGAAGACATTTTTGAAATACGATGCGGGTAAAATGTCGAGTGAACAGGAGGATGCTTTCATTGCATTAACTATTTTTACCAGCTCTGATAGTGAGACGGGTAAAAAGCTTTCTAAAACGACAGGTCGAGATGGCGTAGGAACTGACAATGCAGATGCTGGTGGGGACAATTTTTTCCTTACATTACTTATTTTTTCTAGAAAGAAAGAAATGTTTCACAGTCTTCATTAGAAGGAATAATGGCAGCAGGTGGAGCAGGAGTAACAATATCAGTAATAGTGTCAAATAACACCTTGTGTAATGTCACAGCTTCATGTTTGTAATATGTGTGTTTGTATGTTCATTTTAACGCATGTTCTCAGGTTTCATGCTCACCTGCTTGGCCTCTCTGCAGGACTTCGATGTCCACTGAAGCTGACACTTCTTCTCCCGACTCTTCATCTCTGGCGATGACCTGCAGAGCGGACATTAGAGCAGTGTTCACGGGTCAGCCTTAAGGTTAAAACCAAAAATCATCCAAAGTAATGATTAAAAACTGTTGTGTTTGTTTGATTTTTCTAGACCAACATTAAAGTGTTCAAAGAGCTGAAGGGGATTCACACTGTGAAGCTTTTAGTCCTGATCTTCAGTCTCTCCTCCTGCTGATTCTGGTGTTTGGATCACTTCCACCTGAAAGATGTCTCACTGCAGCCCGAGGCCTTGTTATTTCACAGAGATGTTTTCTTACAAATCCAAATAGATTTATTTTTAGCATTCTTTGACTACAGGGGGACTTTTCTTTCTTCAGCTTAGTTTGTTTCTGTAGAATCACACTAAAACTGAAAAATTGTACTGCAGTGAAAAAAAAACTACTTTGCTGTCTTCCTATTGTGTCCTCATCGGTTGAGGCTCTGCTTTTTAACCACCTGTCACTGCCATCACACAGGGGTTTTGCACCCTTTTTTTAAACATCTGCAACTCCCGTAACCCCCAAACCATTTGCTCAGTTGAAAGAATTCCAATGGTTCCTGAAAGCAGTGAGTCTGTGCTTTTCACTGATATTTTCAGCATCTTCTTCCTGTCATATGGTGCCGTTTGTCTCTCAACATGAACTTCACTGATATCACTTTAGCAGATAGCAGATGTTCCTCCATCTTTCTGTGCTCATAAGTTTATATTAGCGTAACTACCTCTCTGCAGTTAACCATCAGCTACACTTTCACTGATGTTCCAAACATGGCTGTTAGTTTCATGCTTACTCCATATTTGAGGCACAGCTGTTTTATTTCAATCGGAACATGATGTATCATCGTGAGATATAAACTATCTAATTTCCTGATGTTAAACATTATTCTACCAAGCACACTGATCATTTTATTGGAGGTGAAGGAAACTGGACCTGGTAATGGTCACTGTCCTCCTGCAGACACTGATACACACAGAGAAACCATCCAGGATAGATCCACCCTTTAAAATAATTTCAGGTTCAGCTAATTCAAACCACATCCAACCAACCTGGGATTAAAGTTAACAAACTGAAAATCACCTGATTCCCATGTGAAGGTCAGGCCCATCAAGCCTCTACCCCTCATTATTGCTTATTCAGACTTCTGATATTATTTTAAGGTGGAAAAATTCCACCTATAAGACCATGGATCCACTTTCCCAATGAGACATTGAGTTGGTGCTAGCAGCGGCAGCTAATCGTGATACTGGTGGTGACAGTATACTGGTGGTGTTTAACAGGTGAGTTGGTTTGATCTATGTCTAACTCACCTGTAGGATTTGTCTGTCAAAGGCGCGTAGTTGGTTTGTCTTGGCGATCAGAACCCCCTCCTTTGTGACTTGATACAATTCGGATGGAGGATGGAGCAAATAGTGGATATTTGGGTTCCTGCCCTGTGATTTGACAGTAGAGATGACTCACTGATATGATGATGTAAGTAACACAGGTAGTGTAGCATGTGTTCTTACATCAGGGAAGTCACGGTCTGACACCTGGACCTGTAACACCTGGTTCCCATAGGTTGTGACGATGGAGGCAGGGCTAGAGCTCTGGATGATGAAACCTTTGTAAGTGGTTCTGTTGAAGGCCGGAGGAAATGCGTTCTCATAGAGAACTCTGACCAGAACTGATGCCACACTGTACTTCAACCTGTCATCCACCTGGCATACCTGTACAGGTGAGAGGGAAAGTAGATGTCTCACAGTTTTCAATTCAATTCAATTAAATTTTATTAATACAGCCCCAAATCACAATATCAGTCACCTCAAGGCACTTTATATTGTAAGGTAGACCCTACACTAATGCATAGAGAGAAAAACCCAACAATCATATGATAAGTGCTATGAGTTTGGCAACAGTGGGAAGGAAAAACTTCCTTTTAACAGGAAGAAACCTCCGGCAGAACCCGGCTCAGGGAGGGGCAGCCATCAGCAGTGACAGGTAGGGGTGAGAGAAGGAAGACAGTATAAAAGACATACTGTGGCCAATTGCTGTGAATGAAGCAGAAAACAGGAAGGTATGTCGTTACCATGATTGTGAGCATGTAGTTTGTTGTCAGTCGTTGATCATCTGCTGCTCTGGTTAACCTGATCTCACCTGTTGTGTTGTTGATCGTGAACCTGCCCTGATCATCACCTGTGGGTGAAGCAAACACACCTGTACACACGTTTGTACATGAGTCTAATGGTGAGTGTGAGTGAGTCTGACCTGAGAGGATGGTGTAGGTGAGAGGAGCATTGATCCCTTTGTCTCCATCCTCTGCTGTGATTGGGCCAGGAGAAAAGTCCAGACCCACGTCCTGAAACAAAAAATAAATAAATAAATACCTGCAGGTATGTGGACAGGTATAAAACTTGTTCCCTAAATGCTGGGACGCTAAAATCTAAATGACTTGAAAATATTGTGATACTGAAAAACATCTCCAGAAACATTGGGCTGTTTTTATTGACATTTTATGGTCTGGTAATGTTTTCAGAAGCCAGTTTGTAAATAATTGCATCCACCTGGTTCCTCGGGTATTTACCTGGTGTTTCTGTGTGATGTTGGTTGTGTAGGTGGGATTCATGCAGACAGGCACACCTGGAGACACAGGTGTGCAGGGCAAGAAGTGAGGATACTGGTCATCACCATCCTCGATGTTGATGTTGAGAACAGCAGATGTGTTGAACTTGTCCACAGTGTTTGATTCCTGTCAGGTATGTAGAGGTGTGACATTATTTTCACTTTTCTGTGATAATTTGACGATCAGATATCACAGGGTTTGTTTTTTTTGTTGAATAGTCTTGCATTCCTGCTGGTTAGAGTGTAATGTCTTGTGATGACTTTGCAGTAAAATAAAACCTCTGACCTCACCCTGATTACCTGGATGTATCACCTGTCTAAATGTTACCTGGGCCCACATGATGAGCTGCAGGTGAGTTCTCGTCTCATAGTCCAGAGGTTTGTTCAGAACTACCTTTCCAGTATTGGGCAGGTCGATCCTGAAGAACTCGGCATCTTGCTGCAGGCAGACAGATGACAGGTGAGATAATAAAGAGCTGCAGCTCATGGTCAAGCAGCAATTGGTGGGCGTTATTCTTACTGATGACGGGTCGATGATGTAGCTGATCATGTCCCCATCTGCATCAACAGCCTTCACAGTGAAAACCACCGAGTTCACTGCTGTCAGCTACACACAAAACAATGAAAAATCCTGTTTACACAGGTGAGGAAACACCTGAGGCACCTGTTAAAACGATGTACATGTGATGGATGCTCATTGGCTGGTTAAGATGAAGGTAATTTTTCTGGTTGTACCTCACTGATGGTGAACGGCTGAATTGTCTCCAACAGGAAGTTTGGTTTGTTGTCATTTTCATTCAGAATCTCCACCAAAATCCTGTAGTTACCCTGAAACAGGTGCAGACTCACCTGAGCGACTCTGAGTCATCAAATGTATTTACCGCTCAGCACAGGACCTCAGATGACTTACCTGTATGATGTCATTTTCATAGCAAATTAGCTCTGCAATGAGCACTGATCCCTCCACCTGTCAGACAGAGATCCAGCATGAGGTGAGACATTTTAAGATGTATTTCTGCTGCAGGTGAGAGGTGTTCAGGTGTACCTCTCGGTCGAGGACTCTGAACACTGAGGAGTTGAGTCTGATGGTCCGGCCCTCTAAGTAGAACCAGTTGGCGTTGCGTCCCGACAGACACAGGCGGATGGTGTTAGCTCGTGGACCTGCAGTGATGTTGATGCTGGAGATGAATTCACCTGTTGGACTATTCTCTCTGACTGAGGTGAAGATGTCGGAGCCCTCCCGACATAGGCTCGCTGAGGATGAAGCAGAGGATATCTGATGTGTCCGTGGCAGTGAGGACGATCAATAACTGATTATGGTTTCATTGATCCGGTTCTGTTGTTATCTAAAGACATATTTAAAGACAAACTTCTCAGGAGTGTCTGAAAGTAGAGAGTTACTTTTTTAGTCCTGATTAGGACTTCAGGATCTTTTTATCACATCACCTTAAACCAACCTTAGATTACTAGCCACATTTAACCAAATCATGCTGCACCGTATTTACCTCACATTCCCATTATTTTACAGTTGCCAGTTACCCAATCGAGCACGTCTTAGGACTTGGAAGGAAGCCAGGATATCCGACAGAGCCTACACAGGCATAGATCATGCTCAAAAAACCCTAATCCAACATTGAGATTCAAACCGGGAACCTTCTTAGTAACCGCTGCACCACCGTGGACAAAAAGGCACTGACGACGGCAAAGTGCCTGATATCAGAGAAAAGCCGTTTTTGAATTGTCTTACCTATAACAACATTATAAGAAAGTCTGAGAGCCACCTGCCACAGCAGCAGCCTGCAGGACCTCAACATCTTCATCTTTGACCTCCTCCACCTGGTAACACAAAGTCAGTGAGCAGTATAGGTAAAGAGCATCAACAAAGTCAACCAACCAACAATCAACACAACCAGCCAAGTTTCTCAGGTAGGGCTAGAGCCTATCCCAGCTGTCTGAGGGTACACCCAGGGGACTGTGGGAGGAAGTCAGAGTACATGCAAACTCCACACAGAAAGGCCCCAGTTGGTCAAATTGAACTTAGGAACTTCTTGCTGTCAGGCAACAATAGTGGAATTGGAATCAGTGGAATATGTAAAAAAAAAAAACTATATATCTTGAAATATATTTGATATATGAAGTTATGACTGAGATGAAATGACCTTAGTCTCTACACCATCGTCTAACTGCTGTGGATTTCTCTCTAATATTGTTGTTCATCACCTTATAGTATAAAACATCTGGCTCAGCTCCGTTGAGGTGATTTGTTAGCCTGTTTGTGTGAGTTCTCAGATTCATTTCACTTGTTTCATAATCACTGTGTGAACGTAACATCTGAGCAGATTTTATCTATGAACTGGAAATACGAACTCAGAGGTCACAGTGTAGTCTGCTGTGTTCACATGTGACAAAAAGGTCCTGAGGTGGAACTCTGCAGTGGTCAAACAGAGCTGACCTCAGAGCGGTGAACAAACAAGACGTGACCAAACTGAAAATATGAGCCCTGAGCTCTGCCGCGGTCCACTAAAATGTCACATGATCATATTTTTTATGACCTTCAGCTGCAGCTGTGGAGTCAAAACTGGATGAAACTCAAGCTGTGGTATTTTTTTTTAAATTCGGATCAGCGAGAGGAGGATCAGAGGCTGACACCGCTGCTCATATGTCTTTATCAGGTCATCACGACTTTATACGTGTTCAGCTGAAAATCATCACTGCACCTTATCCAGGTTTTATTTTGAAAGGCTCTGCTGTGTTCTCTCCATCTACATCAGGGATGCTCCTGCAGCCTCGAGGAAAAAACAGACTGATGATGAAGGCCTATGATTGAAACGTCCTCCTCGAAGGTTTCCTGCCCTGCTGGTGAACAGTTTCCTGCATTGGTCTCCTCAACCACGAGCTCAGCTTCCTTCTCTTCAGTCCCTGTGTGCTCAAACATAAACCTCACACCTCAGTTTGATTCAAGGTCCCATCACAGGCTGAAAAATCTTGATCAAACTTGATGGAACAAAGTGTTTAATGTTCGCCATACAGGCACACACTCACGCACACTCACACACGCACAATCATAGTACACCACAGTAATTAAGTAACAGATAAAGTGACAGAAAAGTTCCTGTCTTTTTGCAATCTGCTATAGAAATGTCTTTTTTTTTATCATGATGGGTTCCCAGCTTAAAAGAAAAGAAAGAACAAACATTTTCTGTAAATGAAAAAAAACTTCCTGTTACAGGGCAGTGCTATCGAAACCTGGAGCAACATTTCTTTGTCATTTAGAGAAACTGAAATGTGCCGCCGGAGTTGTACTTCTTTATCTTATATTCAGATGACTCAGGGATTAAATGTGCAGTTAAACATCTTTACGCTGACAGGAAGGCCAGTTTCACCGGTCTGACCGCCCCCGTACGAGGCCCAGGATGTGAAAGAGTTTAACATCCCTGATCGAAAGTGTAAGAGAACAGAGGAATAAAATGACACAAATCACAAGGAGTAAAACAACACAGCGACAGACACACACGACCAGAGTTTTTACAGCCGTTGGTTCAGATCGCTGCGTGTTGGCCTGTGTTAGCCCTTCACCTGCCACTTCACTTTTTCCTCTTACCAACTCTTCATCCTCACACAGACTCACCTTGCTCTCTTCTGCTGGCCTACAGTCGGCCGATGTCTCTTGACCTTGCTGCTGATTTCATCCTCATGTCATCACACATTCATGTTTTTGTGTTTCAGCCTTGATCTGTTGTTCTGCTTTGTCCCCAGAGAACAGAGCGCCTTGTCACTGTGTGTGTGTGTGTGTGTGTGTGTGTGTGTGTGTGTGTGTGTGTGTGTGTGTGTGTGTGTGTGTGTGTGTGTG